AGTGCACTCCACCGTCCTATCTTCCTCGGCCACATTCTCCCTCATGGCCTCCTTGATCGCTATGCCCAACCGTGTACGCCCCTCTTGTCCTTGGTGCCAGCACGGGCACCACTCCAGATGATCACGCGCCCGTCGTGTGCAATTGAACCTTGCCCCTCTCGCCGGATCTCCTTAAGTCTTATCACACTACAGCCGGTCGCGGAACAAATCTGCATGACCTTCATCACGTTGTGACCGATGGGGTTCCTACCGCTGTGGGCGAGAGTGCGTACGTTGAACGTGCCGAACGATAGGCCGCCTTCCCGTGCCTTCTTTGCAGCCGCCTTTGCGGTCGCTCCGGTCTCGTGTCTCTCTTGGTCCGCTTCGCGTTGCGGGTGTGCTTTCTTCCGTATTTTCCGAGCGGCGAGTTTCCTCGCGTCAATCCATCTCTGCAGCGGTCGGTTCTTGCCTGTGCTATTTTGACGAGGAGGGTGCAGCACTCCCTCCCCGCGGTGCCTGCGGTTGTCTCCCTTCTCCCGCGAGCGTTGGTTACTGACGTGGTATTTACGAATCTCTCTACTCCTCCAGCTTCGTGGGCCACGCTTTCCGCGACGGTTGTTGCCAGGTGCAGTTTGCCGCTTTGCATTACTGCCGCGGGAACAGTGTCCATACACACCTCTCGCCACTACCACCGTCTGTGCATCCTCCCCGCCACGCTGAGCCAGCGCGGCGGTGAGTTGCACCTTGGGACACCACCCGCCTACTATCTGTTGTGTCCTGGTTCGCCCGCGAGGGACTCACTAGGTCGAGTTCGGCCCCGGCCGGGGAGCAGGCCGAGGAGGGGGACGTGTGCAGGTATGTATGTACATATGTAACGTGTAAATAATGTAAATATGGATTGACAACGGTTTAACTGATGTTCTGAAGGCATATACGTGTAGAAGGGAGGGGTTGAGGGGGGGTCGTGGTGTACTTTGGGGGCTCCGTGGGGTCATGAGGGGGTGGAGGGGTGGGGGCTCCGTGGGTCATTTTGGTCAAAAGTGTCGCATTTCACCCAATCACCAAAAACTCATCGGATATCGACGAAGCTCGACACCGCGGTCACGCCCAAAGTTGTTTCACTTTCCAAATCGTTTTTTTTCGAAAGATATCGCGAAAAACAAGACTGTGAATATTTGCCCGAACGGACCATATGTCTAAGAATACAGCTCACATGGCTGCGGGAAAGTATGATTTGACGGTGAGGTGAGTGCTGCTGTACAGCAGACAGCAGTAGTACGAACAGGGCAGGACGCCCTCCCATCATCACTACTGTGTCAAATGTCATCGGCCTCATGTAGGCTGATAGCCTACACAGAGAAACTAGCCACGCAAGCAAAGTGAGGGGTTGACATGTACTACGCGAGGCACATCGGAACAACTCTGTACGTCGTGGAGTTTCTGGAATGTGTGAGCATACCGTGAATGACACAAGATAACACGCACCCCTGCACCGATATTCAAATGCCGATTTCTCAACAACAGAAAGAGTCACAACGCCGAAAACGGTGGCGTTGAAGCTGTCTCGTCGAGAGTTTTCCGAAAATCTATTGTTTCATTGATGAATCTTCTTCGTCGTGACGTAATCGAGCTTTCAAATTGTCTAGGGGGGAATGTTGTCTTGTGCCACATACGGTAGTCGTAGGAAAGGAATGGACTTCGTGAGCAGAGCCTACTGCTCTAGACTGCAAACATCAGTGGGGTGACACTTTTTCGTGTGCTGTAATTCTGCCGTTGGTACGTACGTTCGGACGCGTGTGTGCTGCCAACCTGTTCCTGTCGCTTCCTCTCTTTGAATGTCCCCGGTGCCACCTCTCCGGTCCTTAGCGGGTAGGTCGCCCGCCAGTCGTAGTTTTTCATTCGCGAAACGCGACCGCAGCTCGCGAGGGATCAGCTGCGAGGAACCATTGCAACCCGTCCTATTGAAGTAAATCAAACATTTTCCTCTGGCCGGGCTGAAGTGCGAGGCAATCCCACGCAAGTGGTATCGAATAGGTGCTGTCCATCGACTCTTTCGTTATTCTACATGTCCGGGGGGAGGGCGGAGGGCGGACCCATCGTCGTCCGGGACTGTCCAATGTCTGCGGTACACAACCAATCCGCTTGCAACGAATTCATCTATGCATGCCATCAAACATCAAACTGTGAACCGCGGCGACGCGGTGAAACCACTCACTGGCTTTGGTGGTGCACAAGCGGTGCAGTGTGCATGCGTTAACGCTTTAGGGTAAGGGTTAGGATTACGCGTCTCTGATTGCTCTTCTGTTCTCTCACGACGGAAGGTGCATCCAAGATGAGCAGCCAGATGGACCAGCAGCAACAGCGCATACCCTTCCGAGAATTGCCTACGAGGCCGAAGATGCCGTTACCGCCGCGGTGGCTCACGTTGGATGACACCAGCAGGAACATCGTCAACATACACAGCATGGTCAATGGGGTATGCCAGCTGTACAGGCAAGAGGTGTGGCCCTCGTGCTCCCGCTTACCCTGTAAGGATTGGTGCCTTGTATATTTGCATATGGTCCGTGCACAAGTAAAAATCCCAAAATTTCCCAGCACAAATGACAACTTTTCTCTGCACACAGGTGGTTGTTCGGAATTCTGAAAATACCGGAAAACACCCTGTTTACAGGCGCACCGCGTGACGGAGAGTTTTTTTTTTTTTCCTTGACTTTTTATCTCCGATAAACCGGAAAATCTTGTTTTGTTTTTCGAGAGGTGTGTTGTTTGTTGATGCCACCAAACTCAACGGTTTTGGACAGATCTCGGAATTTGCCAGGTGGGATTTTTTTTTTTTTTGAAATATTCGAAATTGACGGAGATATACGGGGAAAACTTGATTTCAAGGGTCAACTTGTTTTGTTTTATATGCAATAAC